GAGAAAGAGAGAGAGGGAGGGAGAGAAGAGAGAGAGGGAGAGGAAGTGAGATTTTTGGTTCTTACCTTGGCAACAAGTCTTGCAAATAATTTGCATGTCAGGACAGCATATGAAGCGAGGAATTTATATTTCAGGATGGTATATGAAGGATCCTAATCAACTGAGCGATGGCGAAAAGGATTCTCCTTAGGTTGCAGTCAGAAGGGCTCTCAACTTCTCTGCAAGTGAAGGCGGTCAAGGTTTCTAAGTAAGGACAGCCGACAGGCTTCACTGTGATACCACATAACGTGCAAAATATTATCTTAAGAAAGAAGGTGGGAAGATACACTCACCATTTTCCATTTAGTGAGTGGTGGAGCGAGGCCAAACATCTCAATGTCCCGCCAAGTAAAAAAGGTATCCAATGAAATGCCAAGTAAAAAAGGTATCCAATGAATGATTCTCATGGGATAGGGGAATAGCCAGCCAAGGTTTCTCGTTGATCATTATGCACATGACGATGAAATCAATAAGAAAGATGAAGAATAGTAACAGAAACGGTACGTCCCTTTTTTTTCCCACTTTCTTATTGAAGCTGACATTTTGTCAGATTACTGATCAAACACTCAAAACCATTGCCCGGGCAAACAGACAAGAATTCGGACCATTTCTCAATTTCTGAGTCATCCTTGAAAGTGCAAGGGGGCATGGCATGCTAATCTTCTCCGTGTCATTCCAATTTTAGTGGATATCCATTTATTTTTTTTCCCCACTTTCTTATTGAAGCCGTCAGATTACTGATCAAACACTCAAAATCATTGCCCGGGCAAACAGACAAGAATTCGGACCATTTCTCGATTTCTGAGTCATCCTTGAATGTGCAAGGGGGCATGGCATGCTAATCTTCTCCGTGTCGTTCCAATTTTAGTGGATATCCTGAAAGAGGATTTCTCAGCAGAGTACAGAAGCATCGTGGTTTTTCAATTCCCAAAAGTTTCGCCAATTCTGGAGCTTGGCAAAAATCATACTCTTACTCCACCAAAAACCCCTCCGAAGCATGCTCCAAACTGGGATTCAAAAAGACGAATAGTCTTTTGTCTCGGACTATAGGATGAGCTATAGGACGGACAGAACGGGGGATAGGGTGGACATGAAGGGAAATGAAGGCACACAGGATAAAGCAAGGACAGGGGGAGCACAGGGTGGTAATGGGGCGCAACCTGGCCATATAAGGTAGGAACAGGCAGCAGAGAGGCCACAACCGAGCAGGACAAGGATAGATAGGGTCACTACGGCAGCAGCAGTAACATGGATGGTAGTGGCCATGTAGGCGGCAGAGATAAGAAAATAGCAGGACAATAGGCAACCTGAGGAACTGCCACAGATGGCCCCCCCCCCTGCCTGGCCTTTCCAGAGTTTGACCCGCTGCATGACCGGGTGCTGCTAGTAAGCCTCCCATCCTGCAGGCCAACCCCCTAGGGAAGGCCAAGGCTTGGGGGAGGGATACTCCATAGCAGCCCCCCCCCTTTGCCAGGTGTCTAGAGCCACAAGGGATAGGCTGTTCCTCTTGCTTTGTCTCTTCTCCCCCGCCCTCTTTGTTGGATGTAAAAAACCCGGTGATAAGCAACCGGACTGCTGCCCCCCAGAATAGAAGGGCCTTTGTTTTTTGGTTAAAACAAAACAAAAAAAAACAAAAAAAAAAGAATCGACAGAGTCAAGAGACTCCAGAGTCCAAACCAAACAGTATCGTCTTGACAAGGCAACTCGGTTTACCCTGAAATTGCTGAACTTTTGCATTATAGTTCGAGCAGGCTGGAGAGAATTTTCAGTTTATTTTTCAAGTTTGGATCTGGACTTCCATCATGCTCATTAAGCTGCTACTGACACTGACTCATATACCCCCAGACCCCATCTGATACCACTGCAAGGTTCCAAACAGCAAATTTGAGGGGAGTAAGAGTATACTCACACTAGCCCCTCAAAATGGCAGACTCGCAAAATGAGCGGCCAGATTAAGTCCTCCTTTAAGAAGGACTTAATCTGGCCGCTGATTTTGCGATTCTGCGATTTTGAGTGCCTGGTGTGAGTATGCCCTAAGCTCAGCAAAACCAATTACCCTGCCGGACCTTGCATTGGTTACTTTGGATCTGAATTTCCCATGACCAATACTCCAACAAACAAACCTGATCAACAGAGGCTTAATTCCAATGTCAAAGCGATGTCATCCTAGCCTTGGATAAAAGCAATCATCAATGGAAGCAGCAAATGACAACACAGTTGAACACACATGACACTGCAGAGAATGAACCGGAACACAAAGAATACTTCTCAATAACGAACAACAACAAGGGGCTCAATGCCCTCCAATCTCTCCCCGAATGTCTTCTCCCTCAATTGCCATCTCACATCTCTCCAGCCTCTCCAATCTACACTATTCTAATCTCCTCCCCCCCCCCCCCCCCCCCCCCCCCCCCCCCCCCCCCCCCCCCCCCCCCCCCCCCGACCTCCCACAGGTCTCCAGCACCTAAAGGAATGGAGTCTTGATTGAAGAATGATGGTCCTCGATCGGGATGTGGTTACCTGTCAGCAGGTGAGCTTCTTCCACCCTCACGCCTCTTCTTCTCTCTCCCAAGTATATCTCCAATGCTCCTTGCTATCCCCCCTTCTGCCCCCTGTACCAGCTGGTCTCCCCTCCCTAAAACGCCCAGCTATAGCTATCTGCCCAAGCACTCTCACCAGCAGGGCCGCATGCCACTCTACTGCTCCAGTGCCACCAAACTGAGTGCAAGGCGGAATGCGTCATAGTTGGACTGACAAGATATGTTGCTTCCGGTCGCTCGTTGGGTGGCCCATGCATGCATTTGGAAACTTTGTACGGACCGCCGAATGTGTGTGCAATCTGTAAAATTTTCTTCTTCTGGAGAATTCTAAGACTCTGAGTCAGACTGGGCCTGACTGCTGACATCCGCAGGCTCGGGATACCCAAATCCACAGCTGGCTGCCCCCAAAACCACATCAATAACATTTTTCACACCCTCCCCTAGGTCTCTATGGAGTATGGACTAATCGACAATCCCAAGAGCCTAGAGCCCTGTTTTCCGACCCTGTTGAAATGTGGGTTCTCTGGCCCACTTTTTCCCGAAATAATTTGGACTGCCGATGACCAGAGCCTATTGAGTGCGGGTTTTCTGACCCCGTTTTCCTGAAATACTAAAAAATCAAACGAGCCTACAACGGACCCGAAACCAACCCTCAGGCGGTTCATTTCAGTACCAGATTCAGTAAGAAAAGCAGCAGCATTGACTTTCCACCTTTCCATGACCATTGATTAACAATGGACACTGCAGTGTGGCCTGGAAGTCTTTCCCTTTTTTTCCCAATCATGTTAGATACAGATTCGATTTAATTTCATACAATATTAGTCCAAGCAGTGCTAATTGAGCATATCACTCCGTAAGATTACAGTTTATAATATAAGCACGGCTTTTCATCGCCAACTCAACTTTTTTATAATCATCAATGGCTCCAGACAGTGGAAAGCAATAATGCAGTTCCTAGTTTCTCATAAAAATTTACTAGATATGAATCTGTTGTAAAGGGGAATCAAGCTGGAGGGGAAGGGGAGGTTTGGGGGATGAGCCACACCGAAGACACTCCTCACCGTCGATAGCGGACAACTTCAACACCACGTATTTTGATGGAACCTGTCATACCTGCCATGCCACAGGAACAGAGTTGTTCGGCAATCCATAGAGTCACGGCCAGAGTACTACATTAACATTCTGATAAAAAGTGGAGGCACTGCAAACCCATGAAGACCAAATCAACCTCGCACCACAAACAACCAGAAAAAGAAGATGAAAAGAAAAGATCTGCATTCAATTATGATAAACGACTGCGACTTTTGAGACACATGCATGAATCGCAAGCCAACATGAGATACTAGAAGAAGAGACAGCAGCAGCAGCAGCAACAGACGAAAAAGAAGAAGAGGAAGAAGAAGGAGACGACGACGACGACGACGACGAAGAAGAAGAAGAAGAAGAAGAAGAAGCAGAAAAAGCAGAAGGAGAAGAAGGAGGAGGAGAAGAAGAAGAAGAATCACGTGTGTGTGCTGACCAACCCCCTCACCCCTCACCATCCCCTCGGCAATATATGTGTGTGTGTGTGTGTGTGTGTGTGTGTGTGAGAGAGAGAGAGAGAGAGAGAGAGAGGGATTAATGGAATTATCATCGATCAATCAAATCAATCAATCAATCAATCAATCAATCAATCAATCAATCAACCAATCAATCGATCAACCAATCAATCAATCGTCAATCAATCAATCAATCAATCAATCAAATATTATATTAACCGTTGATCATTCAACTGACTGATTGATTGATTGACCTTAGATAGATCTTGAAACCGCCCCAAAAAAGGAAAAGAATCACGCGTGTGTGCCTATGCTTGTGTGTGTGTGCTTGTATTATGTGTGTGCGACCTCACGTTTGCGCGTATTTTTGTGCATGTGTGCGTGTGTACGTGTGTGTGCGTGCATGTGTGAACTCCTGGATATTGCACTAACGAATGTATGATTGCCACGTTTTTCATTGATTCATTGATTCATTTTTACACTTGTTTTGATGACAATGGGTATATTGGTCCCGATTAAACAATCAATAGATTGGTCCCAATTGATCAACCAATGGGTTACCAACGGTCGATCAACGGAGTTAGTAATTACGATTGATTAAACCACCAGTACCTTTCCCGCGTGGGAAAATAGGGAAAACTGGCAGTTTTCCCAAGCGCCTGAATTTTCGGAGGTCAGGCCCGACGACGACTACCGTTGATAAATCTGATCGGCGGCCGTCGTTTCGTTTCGGCCGCTGCATAGGTCGGATGCCTACCCGAGTCCCGCTATTTTCCAAGCGGCAAAGGTACTGGTGGTTTAACGAGAGTTACACACAAGGAATTTCTTTGTTATTTTCATTCCGACGATGAACGAGATTGTGTTACATATATGGAGTGATCGAAAATTTTGCACGAAAAGTTAACACTTTCAAATCTCAATTGCGCAACAGATGGTTGAAAACTTCCTACGATCCCCCACCGCTCGCCACCTTGATCAACAGCCGAAAGGCTCTCTCTCTCTCTCTCTCTCTCTCTCTCTCTCTCTCTCTCTCTCTCTCTCTCTCTCTCTCTCTCTCTCACACACACACACACACACACACACACACACACACACACACACACACACACTAGACAACGCCACAAAGAAAAGCATATTGTGCCAAACTGTCTCATCGGGTTTCACCGACTCTGAGCAGGATGCATTTTGCTGATTGGCAAGTACCAAGCATGTCGCTCAAACTTAGTGACACCCCTGAGAATCGTCATTGACTTTACTTGTGCGTGTGTCTTGTCATGTTCTCTATACGCAACTCTCCATACAAAGCAAGTGCGCACCTTTTTGTGGAGTTGTGCATCACGAACATGACAACACACAAGCAGGATTTGATTAATTGATTTGTGACCGAAGACAAAAAAATAGGACGAGAGGGAGGAAGGGGGGGAACCGAACATTAAAAAAAAGATGGCAGAGAGGGAGGAGCAGGAGCATATCAGGGCGAGGAGTGCAAGGAGGAGGAGGGCCGTGAAACATGCAGGGGGTGGATGTGACGAGCAAAATCGTGCTCCTCGGGCGGAGGCATATAACGGCGCGTTGGGTGCCTTTCGTGCTCCTAGTATCCTAGTTTGATTGGATGCAGTGGTTTAAACCACTAGTACACGGCCCCAGCCTTGCAGTCCGAAACTTGTTGCCACAAGAAAACGAGGCCGAAACGTCAAACATTGGGCCTTCCGTTGATAAATTGGATCGGTGGTCGCATTTTTGTTTCGCGCTTCCACAATTCGAGGTGTCAGGCCCGCGATGTACTAGTACACGGCCCCAGCCTTGCAGTCCGAAACTTGTCCCCACAAGAAAATGAGGCCGAAACCTCGAACGCTGGGCCTGCCGTTGATAAATTGGATCAGCGGTCGCGTTTTCGATTCGCGCTTCCAGAATTCAAGGTGTCAGGCCCGCGGCCCAGGTGCCCATATACTGGTGATTTAACGACTATGTGCTGCGTCTATGGGTGGCATTATGGCGGGTTGGGTGCTGGTTCTCATCATGGTTGGTTGCCTTGACAAGTAGGCACTCCTATATGCGTGCTCCCTGGAGTTTGGAGCCACTTCTGCGTCTGGATCCTTGTCATGGATGTTCTGGTTGCTGTCCATGCCAGACTCATCTTCCTCATCGTGCTGTTGGCGTACTTAGCATTCCTGGTCTTCATCGATGTCACTTTGTTACGTGTGGACAGCGTGAGGAGCCGCAATTGCTCATCGCCAGTACCTTCCAGATGGTGTAGCGCCCGACAGCCGTTGAATGTTTGCAGCATCTGCGAGTGCTTAACCTAGGAGCCATGGATTTTGCTCGTCGCCATCCAGCCCCTATATTTTTCCCGACCCTCCTCCTCTCCCTCCTTGCCCTGATTTGCTCCTGCTCCTCGGGAGATAGCCCAGCTTGTCGAAAATGGAGTCCTCCCACCAGCGGGCAACACATTCCTCCCCTGAACTCCCCTGTGACCTTTGGCACACTCAGCACTTCGAGGCCGGTCCGGTTGGGCCGCCGGTTCGCAAAAGGACTGACAACAATTTTAAGGGGTCCCCCAGGCCATGGAAAATGGCCTGGGGAGTGGGGACCCAAATTGTTTTTGGGAGTTTCTTGAAATCGGGGTCTCTCTGGACCTACCGGAACGGACACTGGACCCCGACATCCATACCCGGACTGTCTGGATCCGGATCGGGACATCCGGTTGGCAACCATGCAAAAGGCCCCAAGCCCGCAAAGGGATAAAAGATGGGGAACCGGAAAATGCGTAGGTCCCCAAAGAAAAGAAAAGAAGAAAAAGAAGTGTGAAGTTGGATGAAACCAAAGAACCTCCTTACAAACAAAAAACAGGGGATTAGAAACGACGTATTAAACTTCGATGAAACCAAAGAAGACCCTACGGGAACAAAAATGGGGTACTGGAAAACGACTAAGTCTCCCAAAAAAAAAAGAGAAAGAAGTGTAAACTTCGCCAAATCAAAGAAGAGCCAAGGGTGATAAAAGATGGGGACAGAGAAACCACTACGTGTCTAAAGAAAAGAAAGAAGAAAAAGAATTGTCAATTTTGCCCAGAAGAATGGAGCGGGTAGGAGGACATATTGGAGAGGAGGTTTACCTTCACTACGACATTTCTAAATTGATGAAATCGTTGTTTGGGAGGTTTTTCATCCTTACTGTTGCTCAGAATAATTAGATGTCAGGTAATTATGTGTAAGGAGCCCTAGTTCAGACTCGCGATGGTGCTTCGGGGCACTGAGGTATGCCTTTGAACTTTGAAAATCTTGACATTATGCGAGAATTCCTATGTACTTTTAGGAGGCCCAGGTTAGACTCCTGTCGGTGCCGTCAAGCATCATGGGTGTAGTGAGTGCACCCCCATGGATACATGGGATGATGTTGTGAGATTTTACGGTACCTCGTCGGATGTAGTATGGTGTGAGTACCCCTACATTCAGCAAGCCCAAGTTAAACTTCTGACGGCACTTATATCTGTTGTACTGTACTGTGTGCATCCCTGTCTTGCGCAAGAGACCCAGGTTGCATTACCAGCAGCGGATGATGCATCTCCAGGTGAAGCTAGCCAGAGGCTGTATCTACTGCACTCCAAAGGGGTCAATTTGTTTTGTTTGAGGCTAGCCAAAGGCTATAACTGGCATTAGTCCCAGACAATAAGGTGGGGCAAATGCTAATTCTGGTATTCGTCTTAGTAGGCGTTTTTTATTTGCAGCTGTTGGAGGGCTGCACCAATTTCAAGCAGCACAATTGGATTCTGAGGCTCGCTAAAGACTATACTCAGCATCAGTTCCCGTAGGAAAGGTGATTATGTTAACTCATCATATAAGTGATCATCTACTATTCATGATAAATAATGAGGACGTGAATGGGGGGTGGGAGGACTACAAGGGTGTCTGGTTGATGTTCTGGTAGTCGTATGCAAGCACCGCCAGCTTCGCTGCCCAAGGTCCACATGCACAGCACTTGGACATGGGTTGATCAGCCCTAAGAGATGTGGAAGGCCACATGAACAGCGCTTGGGTCTGGGGCAGGTTGTCGTAGAAGGCCCTGGGAGCAGCAGCACACTTTTGGTCATGAGATCGCATGATTGCGCAGCCGAAAAGCGCCACATGTAAGGCTTGAGAAAGGCCTGGAAAAGCCTGGAACAGCAGGCAAGCTGGTATTACTAGTCAGAACTGACCATCATCGTCGCCACATTCACTCGAGAATATCGGGTAACCATTGGGAGAAGGTCCGAGAGCCTAGGGGAGGAGAAATACAGTAGCACCAGACAAGCTTGGATGAAAATCGATCCAAACATATCCGGTACTACTGGGCCTTTCAAAGAGAGAGGCCCAGAACGGTCTAGAAAACAGCTTCAATGGGGTGGAATGACTCCAGGAATTCAGCACCGTTGAAGCAGTAGGTTCTAAGGACTAAACCTTTTGACGGCAGTACCAGTCAAATCTCTGGCTCATTTGACGGCCAGATTCGTCTGGTGGAACCAGGCGAGCAGATGTACGGGAGGGCTTGGAGGTCCTAGTGAAAAGGATATCATCCAATCAGTTTATTGGGCAAACGAGGAAAATCATGTGGTGGCTGTTGGAAAGGGACCTGGACTCTTCCAGCCCCCTTGAGGCAGGTGCGGGCGTGTTTCCTTGCCTGCACTTGGCGCTTGCGTCTACACCTGGCGCAATTCAAGCGCCAAGTGCAGGCGCACAATGTGTGCGTGGTGTGAAGCTCTAGAAGCCTCACTACATCGTGTCCAGCTAGAGTTGGCACACAGTGAGGCTATAGAAGCCCCAAGGCGGTCCACCGCCGAGGCAAGGGCAAGTGTCAAGGCTGTTACCTTGGCTGAAGCAAGTTTTCCCAGCCAGAGGCAGAGGTGTAAAAGTACAAGTGGCCACTGTTATGACGGCCACGTGTATGAGCAATGAGCATGCACATTGCAAGAGTGCTGGAAAAGATGGCAGGCGACGTGAGTGAGTTGAGCATACTACAAGGCGAAGTTTACAGAGACTGGAATCATTGCGGGGTGTGCTAGGGACTAGTGTTGCATAGCTCCGGCTTGTTAGCGAACCCCAGGCCTGGTCACCTCCTTCGAGGGGTGCTGTGACGAAGCTAACAACAAAAGGGCAAGCCTCGTATACGTGTGTGAGTGTCCACACTATGTGTGCACAATGTGTGCATGCGTTGCGGGGAGGCTGCCAAATGCCGGAACAAGGTACGCGGCACACTTGGACGTTGAGACCTCGTGCAAGTCTGCGGGTTGGGCCAGGGTCTGCTTTAGCATTGCACTGAGATCCAATTTATGCCTGTCTGTCGTGGGGAAAGGCCGTCCTAAGGTGGACTTTACTCCACCTTAGGCATAGGTCGAGGTGAGTTTGGTCAAAGTGGTGAGGTGTCCCTTATGATGGGCTTCAAGCTGTCCTGGGGTCCGCTTCCGCATTGCAGTGGAATCAAATTAATACCTGTCTGTGGCGCGGAAAGGGCGTCCTAGGGTGGACTGTACTCCAGCTCGGGCATATGGTTGAGGTGAACCCGGCCAAAGTGGTGAGGTGGTCCTTTGGACCGTTCAGGCCTCCTGCTGGCCTTCTAGCTTGCCTAGGATCCGCTTCGGCATCATTGCGGTGCGGGGTCAACCTGACCGCATTGTCAACACTAATTGCACTCGGTGGCTGCATGAGTGGCACAGTCAGGTGATTGTGATACCTTGCATGCAAGGAGAAACGCTGTCAGTTTGACCAGTGGGAGAGAGCGAGTGGAGGAGATGTGTGTGAACTGAAGTTGTACGCCCTCAAAGAGGAGGCAATTTGGTAGACCTGTATTAGAATTTGATTGTACAAATTGGGACTGCGACCGATTGTTGCTTGGATTCGATTTTGTTCCAGATCGCTTGTCATTTGGACTCACCTCCTATGGAACTGCAAAGTGAGTCTTGTCTGCCCTGTCCGTTTGATTTTGTTTGTACACATGTTCATTCAGGTATGCTTGCTCATGTGAGCATCATCTACGGCATTGAGCTTGTTGGAATTCATGGCATGTTGTATGCCGCGTGTTCAAGGAGGCAAAAATTTCCTTGCTGTGGTTATGGTCATGTGGCAAAAAGAGTCAAAAAGTCTATATTTGAATGGCATTGTTTTTCCTGATAATGGTCTTCTGCGATATGGCTCTGGTAGAAGTGCCTTGAAAAGACCAACGGCGAGCATCAACAGTCAAGCTTGTTGTTTGATTACAGGATTACTTTATGCTTTCCTTATCGGATTGAACGGCTCTTGAAGTTGGCTGTCCTATCAGTGACAATCCGTGAAAGGGGTAGGCATAACTCCGAAGATTTCAGTGTGTGAGGTTCTCCAGACTTCGCTTAGCCTCGGCATGTGAGGCGACGTGTTGCTTCGCATAATGGCTCTGATGTTATGGGTGGAGGTCGGCCTGCATCGAATCCTATCTCTTCTCACAAGTTAGACCGGCTTCATCACTAAGCGTCATCTCTCGACAGCGGAGTAGGCCAGAGGAAGTCCCATGTGGGTACAGAAACTTCATCAAGCATGATAGATCCCGCCGTCCACTACCCATGGTAGGTGGTGCCACACATCTGGTTAGGGGTCCATTATGCCAAGATCATTTGGTACTCTGTATGTGTTGTATAGAGCTTGAGACGATCAACGTTCAGAAGGGGGAGTGCACATCCGTGCGACACTATGAGGTAGAGAAAGGGACTAGGAGCAAAAGGGGTAAGACGCCTTAGTCAACTGTTCGCCTCTAAGGCGCCGGAGTTCAACACCCCCTGACCTTTGGTCAACAGCAGGTTCACGAAGGCATTGTTCGCAAACGCCCTTGGCTGATGTACCTCTACCGAGCAGGTAAAAGTTGTTCCATGAGCATCAGTAACCCCATGGGGGGGTACGCCCGCAAGGGTGGTGACAGCCCCTTGGGCAGGGGAAGCTTGCCCCGTAGGCCCTTATCCTGCCACAGGGCAAGGTGGGATGTAAGCTGGCACACCCTGTCGGAGTAGCAAACTGTTCAAGTGCACTCCACATTCCCTTCCTCCTGTGTGACACGACCTGGAGGGCTCCCTCTACGGGGAGAGCCAGTGTGCTCGACAGTGGCCTGTCCACTTTTATACGCTTTGTCATGACTATAGTGGCTAAGAGACTTGGATCTTGTGGCTAAGGGTGTTGGTTCAATTCCATGCGTGCACAAATGGATTTACGGCCAAAATGCACTGCTATAGAACCACTGCGCAAGCTCCTGCTAACCTGTGAGGATGAGCTTTGTGTGGTGACCAGGCTATGAAAGCAGTGGAGGGTCATGTGCTGGATCGGAGTGAAGTAAGAAAGAATTACCACGTCTGTGTGGTGCTGTGTGTGGGTGTAACTTGGACACTACATCTATGCAGGGGGGGATGGATTTCACGACCGATATGGTTCTTTTGTACACCATGTCATGGTTGAAGTGGTCAAAAGATTTGGCTCTGGTAGCTAAGGGTGCAGGTTCGATCCCGGGCATGCACGGATGGACCCAAGACCAGGAAGTGCTGATCATAAACCCACTGTGTAAGCTCCTGGGAACCTATGAGGATGAGCTTCGTGCGGTGACCAGGCTAAGTGGCCGAGGGTTATGTGCTGGACACCACAGCCATGCACCGGCGGGGTTGATATCATGACCGGGATGGTTCCACTTTTGTACACTGTGTGATGGCTGTAGTGGTCGAGACTCAAGAGACTTGGCTCTTGGCTAAGGGTGCCAGTTCAGCACCGTGCAAGCACGGATGGGCCCAACGCCAGAAAAGTAGTCATCATAGAGCCACAAGCCGGCAGAACGTGGGAAAGGGCTTTCATTTTCTGTTTTTAGGGGAGGGCCAGAAAATTTTGCCCATTCCCCACCCCCGTGTGACCCCCCTCTCCAGCATGCCCCCCCCAACCACCACCGCCACCGTCACTGCCCCCACCGCCCCCAGCGCCCCAGCCCCACCCCCTGGCCCCACCGTCACCGCAATGAAACAGGAGAAAATATAATCACACAGGTGTCGACAACCCCCACACAGGGGTGGACGACTACAGTGCAGGTTCTTTTGTTGGTCTCTGTGCAGGGGTTTCCACCTAGTACCACGCCTCCACACCAACCCCACACCACCCCTTCCCCCCAACACTCCCGAACCCGTCCCACTGCTGCTGCATGCCCACGGCTACTTTTCTTTTGGTTGTGTTTTTTACCCCCCAGTGTCAGGGGTCCCATCATCGGGGCCTCTGTGCCCCACACGGGGATGCAAGGGCGGGGCTTGACAACCACGCTCCCGTTAAGTAAAATGTTTTGCCGGTCTAAAAAATTATGGCACAAATGCGACACACGTGTCTGCCACTGCCAGGCCTGATCCTTACAAATCCAGGGAAAATCGCACGTCCAAAAAAAGAGGCTCGGGAATGGTGGTGGTTTAATCACTCCGCAATCATGAAGGTGGAGCCGTACCCATTGTGGCATCCACCTCACCCCGGCATGGTTGCAGCATAGCCACTCGCTCCAGCACCAGACACCACTCAAGACCCTCCTGCAGGATGAGAGACCAGGCCCTCATCACACAACTAGTTGGTTGATTGGTAATTTTCGTTTGTTTGCCGCATTGTTAGTTTGACATGCCCGGCATCTTTGAGAGAGTTGAGGCTCACCAAAGTGAAAAGTTGGCCATGGTCGCTTGTCGAGCTCAAACCAGAGATGCTTTCCCTTCCTGTGCACAGCCACAAGAACTCTGCCAGTAAGGCCATTTCCTAACTCGTTAGGAGAAAGACCTTCTATAACCAAATTGTCATCTTCAACAATAGCCTCTGAAATTTTCTTCCCTCGGCAGTTTTCCATCACTGCCCTCCTTGATGCCTCAACTTCCGGCAATTCCGGCATTGTGTCCTGCAGTGTTAGGACAAAGTACATTTCAGGGAAGTGCAATCAGGTCAGGCTGATGGGACATCAAAGGTAGGGTGAAGACAAAATAATCACGCAGCACTTTTTTAATGACATTTCAAAATACAACTAGACAAATTTAATTCCTGAGGAAAGAAAAGAAAGGAAGAAGAGGGGGGGGGGGGGGGGGGAACGCCGGGTTGGGGGAATCCTCCTCGTTACCTGGTGCCGGGTGCTCCCAACACCATGCATGTGTTGAAATCATTGCTGCTGTGATTGCTTCTTGTTACTGCTGATACAGTCCATCATTTCCCTCCCATTTGTTGCATCTGGCTCTGGGCTTTCCAGCACCCAGGTGGGAATATTTTTCACATCTTTTCATCAACGTGTCAAGGGTGTATGTCGAAAAAAGAGTCCTGAGAATTCAAATCGCGTTTTCCGTGGTCACATTAATTGATGCTATCAACAATCGATGAATGCAAATTGGAATAAATCCACTGAGATTATCGGACTGGTTGCAACTACGTGGAATTGCTACATCATGACTGGCCACATCGACATCCCAGTAGTACACCAGGTCAGGACCCATTAGCGCCTTGTCAGCATCATGTCAGCAAACCACCTCAACTTGGATATCATTTTGATGGACATTTGAGGGAGATGTGTGTGATGCAGTGGGTAGTTTGTTGGGAGGGGGATAGGAGTGGCAAAAGGTTATTAATAGCCTGTGGTAGTGGATATCCCCTCGAGGAAAAACAGAAAGGAGCAAAGAGAGATGACACCCACCGATCACGAGTTGGGGGCGGAGACTAAACAAGATTGCGCAGGTCCAAACCATGGACGAAGCTGAGAGGAAAAAGGTTTCCAACTCAAAGGAGCCCTTAGATAGCTTCCATGACCCAGAAGGCCAAGCTGCAAGCAGTGTCGATTCTGCAGTCAATGCAGCAAGATGACATAGCTGGGCTGGGGACAAACAATGCCGACCGGTCAAGAGTGGGAAGAGGAGAATAAAGAAATGAGTAAGCAGGTCCAAGCCATGGACGAAGCTGAGAGGAAAAAGAAGGTGTCCAACTCAAAAGAAGGCCTTAGAACAGCCTTCCACAACCCAGAACACCACGCTGCAAGCGATGACGTATCTGCACTCAGCACAGCAAGATGACAGAGCTGCGCTGGAGAGTCCCTCCTCTCACCCACTTTCTTCCTGGGCATCTCCCACTAACACCAACTCAGCAAATCAGTACTCTCGTACCTGGGGGTAGCCATAGGATTTTGTTCCCTGGTCAAAACATCAATAGGGCATATCAGCTTCCAACCTTTGTGCACTGCAATGGGTGTCCTACCAGTGACAGTGTGAATACTGTTATACGCACTAGCAATCTTAGGCAAGTTCTCATCCCAATCAATCTGGTCAGGCCGTACATACCGCAAAAGTTGTTGGCACAGACGAGTCATCTGCTCAGTTTGTCCATTTGTTGCAGGGTGTTTACCTGACGACATGGTCAACCTAGTGCCATAAACTTCCATCAGCTTTTGCCGCTATCGACCTGTGAACCTGACATCCTGATCCCATACGATAGTTTTCGAAAAACCATATTCGAAAACCCATCGCATTTGGAACTTCTGGATGACGAGTTTCGTATTGGCTTCAGCTGGTAAAGGAATAAACATTGCATACTTGGAGAATCTATCAACAATCACCATCACTGGACTATTCTCGTTTCGACTTTCGGTGAGACTCGTAAAATCAATGGAGATGGACGCACCTCGTTCACTTGGAATAGGTAGTGGTCTGAGTAAACCCAATCGATTCTCATGGGTCGACTTGTTTCTCTGACAGACAAGTCAAGTTCTTGCATAGGTTAGTACATCCTCTTTCATTCCTTTCCTTCTCGCATAGGTTAGTACATCCTCTTTCATTCCTTTCCACTCAAAAAGCTCATGTGTGTTAGCAAACATCTTTTGAAACCCGTAGTGACCCTCAACATCATGACATTCCCCAACGATCAGACTTTTAATTTCTTCTTTATAAGGAACACAAATTCTTTCTTCGGTAGAATCAATAAAGAAGAGTATGCCATCAGACAAACGGTACTCAGGAAAGAGTTCAGAATTTTTTTGTAGGGTCTAAATGATAGGACTCCAGATAGGATCCCTAGCATACCCTTTTCAGATCTGGTCCTTTAAATCAGTCCCAATTTCAAGGTAGGTAACAACAGTACCAAAAAAATCAGAACATTTAGGCAAAGCATCCGCAGCAACATTAGACTTTCCTTCTATAGTCTTTAACTCAAAGTCAAAGGTGTCAATGAATGCAGACCATCTTACCAACTTGTCGAATACTCGAGGTTGCGTCTTAATCCACTTCACGTTCCGAGTGATTTGCTTCAATTCAGGCATACAACTCCTTTTCATAGGTGGAGTTAGCTACCTTCTTTTAGGGTAGGCGTTTAGACATGAACTCTACAAGTTTATAGCCTTTCCCACCATCTTGCTGTAGCACAGCCCCAATTTCATACTGACTAGCGTCAATCGTGACAATGAAAGGAAGAGGCGGATCAGCAATTTTCAAGACGGTAATAAGTTAGCGCATACTTCAATTTCTTGAATGTCAACTGACAATCTTTGTCCCATAACCAAGGTTTCTCTTTCTTTAGCAATCTTCTCATAGGTGCAAGCTATACGGTAGAAGTTTTTCACAAACTTCCTATAGGAGCTCTCGCAAGTTCGAAGGATCGCAACTCAGTAACTGTCTTGGGTTCGGGTCACTCTAACTGTTGTAATCTTGCGTTCTTTCAGCCTTAATCCTTCTTCATTCACTATATGTCCTAAGTATAGCACCTCAGACTTAGCAAATTATGACTTCCTGGGTACAATTTATAGTTACCTTCTCTTATTTTATGTAGAACCATTCGCAGGTGTTTCTCGTAATCCTTCAAAGTCTTCCTATAGACGAGGATGTCATCGAGATACACAACTACGAACTGGTCTAATCGCTGTCGGAACAGCTCATTCATAAACCAATAGAAGGTTGTCGGGGCGTTAGTCGATCCGAAAGGCATCACGATGAACTCATAGTGCCCATACCTTGTTCGGAACGCCGCCTTGTGTTGATCTTCATGTTGATGGGGCGCTAGTCAATCTGAAAGGCATCACGAAAGTCTTGCAATAGCCTGGTCAAGAAGGTCATCAATTTGAGGAAGGGGTTCCACATTCTTTATAGTTACGGAATTCAATCCCTGGTAGTCGATACATAGTCTAAGTTCAACTTTTTTTTTTAGCACGAAAAGTACAGGAGCGCCATAGGGAGAGGAACTTGGTGTAATCCATCCTTTCTCTGCAAGTTCTTGCTGTTGTTTCTTACGTTTTTCCAATTCTCGCAAGGACATACGGTAAATCGGTCTCTTGGGAATTTTACTAACGGGAATGATTTCAATGTTGTCCTTGATGGCACACTGAGTTGCTCCCGTCCGTTCGAACTACAAGCCCCTATATTCAATGAGTAGTTTTTCGATTGGAGGAGGATAGGACAAAGAACACTCACCCATATTCTTGACGAGTACCATTATTACATCATGTACCAACTTTTTGGCCATGCTTCAGAAAGCAGGAAGACTTGTACAACAAAACGACAGTGATGAGTCAGAATCAGACTTGTGAAACAACTTAATTGATTTCATTACGGATTTTTCATCCTTTAATTGACAATTTTATATTTAAACTTGACTTCTGGGTCGGCTTTCTCGTGCCACTCAATACCCAGAATCAGGTGAAACGGTAAGTTCTTCTCAACTAGGAAGGTTACTTCATGTAGTATTCTCTTACCTTCCTTTGTTTTGAAATAACACTTCACGCGATCGACATATTGAGAGACGATGATGGTACTTTGATCCTTTAACATAGACGTGATCGGTCTCGGTACGTCCTGCACTCACATCCCTAGGTGCAACTTGCGAATTGCCTTTTCAAAGATGTAGGACCGCGTAAACGCAAGATCCAAAAAAACACCAACTCGTGTTTGCACAATCTCAAAATCTGCAATCATCAACTCACCCTTACTTTTTACTTTCTTAGCCTATGAACTTCGTAAGGCAATCAATTCACAACCAAGTTCATCAAGGAAATCACCCAGTAAAACAGAACACAAATCTTTATTAGGGTGGTCTAGGTGTTGGGCCGAAGAAGAGTCATCCTCTACCATGCGAGCTAAGAGGTTTGAAAGAGGTTCGTGGCGCCGACTTACCTACACCCTTCGGCTCAACAGGAGCAGATGCCACCCCTACTGGTTGCTCCCTTTTGGGTTCCAAATGAGAAGGCATCATTCAATGATGTGTTCCTCGGTGCCACACTTCACGCACTGACGATTATCCATCCTTTCCTGCCATTCCTTCTGGGCAAGGCCCATTTTTCCCAAGGCCTGCCAAAAGCGATGTCAGGATGTGTTGGGAAGGAGTGTGGCCTCTTCTTACTAAATCCTTCATTGTCGATGCCTCCCTTGTTGGCCACCATGGCGGTGACATCACACTTTCATGACTCCCCGCCACTTCTAGTTTCACCCTCGCTTTCTTCAAGGGGCCACCTTTCCGTGGTCTCATCATCAAAAACGACAAGTGAGTGATCTTGTCGTTTTTGCCTCCAAAGAATTTGTTTCTCGTTCCCACTACATTGCCCTCCCCTTAAAATGCCAGCGAACGTTCCTTTAAATCACCAGTACTTCCTAGGGTCGTGCCCGTTAACACGCCACGATTTTAGGAAACGTACGGGCTACTACAGGAGCACCCAAATTCATCCGACTATAAACATTTCTACTCTATTTTTTTTCGCGGCCCATAGTTGGGACAAGTATTGGTGGTTTAACCTGTGATGTCATTTGTTCCCTGTACAAGGCAAGATCCCCGAATTATCGATAGTTATACTTACCGGATTTGGCTTCAGCTACAAGTTGTCCACGTATTGGTTATTGGTAGTGCAAGCAAGAAGATGTAGAGTATCTAGTTGTCCTAGAGGTC